TGGAAGACTGTCATGGTAGCAAATATAAAGTTATTGGGGGGTGGCAGCGCCTGGGTGGCTCAGTCAGTTAAGCGACAGACTCTTCTTTTTGGCTCAGGCCATGATCTCATGGTACTGAGATCAAGCCCCAGGGCGGCCACCATGCTAAGCACAGAGTCAGCTTGTCCTTCTCCCTCTGCTCCTTCCCCTGCTCTCATGTTTGCTCTCACTTTTTCTCTATCATAAACAAACAAAAAATCTTCTTAAAAAGTCCTTTAAAGTTATTTGGGGCAAGGCAGGGAGAACTAGGAGGCAAGGAGATCATGTGGGATACCTATTATGGTTTTTTGTTTTTTTTTTTTAAAGATTTTATTTATTTGACAGAGAGAGATACAGCGAGAGAGGGAACACAAGCAGGGGGAGTGGGAGAGGGAGAAGCAGGCTTCCCGCTGAGCAGGGAGCCCAATGCGGGGCTCGATCCTAGGACCCTGGGATCATGACCTGAGCCAAAGGCAGACGCTTAACGACTGAGCCACCCAGGCGCCCCCCTATTATAGTTGTAAAGATAATCAGTAATGAGTGCATAAATTGGTGTAGTAGGGCTCAAAAGGTAAAGGAGGGATCAAAGGAAAGACATTACCACTAAACTTTAATGAACTGAGTCACCTTTATTACAGACAACAGAATAGCTGCCCCACCTTTATTACAGACAACAGAATAGTCAAGAGATGTTAGACCTAAAAGTTCTTAGTCCTCCGTTTTAGTAAGTTTGATTTGATAGAAACTAGCTGAAAATGTTGTAAACACACAAAAATCATCCTTCCCTGTTAAAAGTATAAATGATTATAGCATTGCTTCCCACTTTTTCTCTCCTGAGTAAATACTTAAAACTTTCACGTAACTCCTGCTTCTCAAAGAGTGAAGATCTGACAATGCCCACCAGTCAGTTCTACTCCCAACATTGCTTCCAACTCCCTCCCCCACTGGTCTTCAATATGTTAAGATCAAGAGGAAAAAGAAATTTATGCAAAATAGGTTAGGCAAGGCAAATTATCCCAAGTTAACACAATCTCTTTTTTTTTTTCCACAGGAAATAGTTGTTGATGCTCTGAGGAGTTAAATTATAATAACACATGCCAGGAAGATGATGTCAGGGAAGGCGTGGTTAGGCCCTTTACAAGTCTGAGATTCCTTTAGTTCCAAACATTTCCTCTTTCAGTCTCACCTATACTCAAATCTCTCTACCGAGGCAACTCTTTGAAACACTGAAAGTGTTGAGACCCTAGAACTCTGATCTTTTTAATTTTTTTAAATGAGCCAAAGAGTAATTGAAGGCCATTAAAACAGATGTTTTTAAAACAAGCACTACATTATGTTGCAGAAATCAGTCTTTGAAATCCACATTCCCCCTTTCTGTGACTATTTAACTGCCAAGAAAAGAATGGATATTCAACACTACATCTTGAGAAAGAATCTGCCTTTATTAGGAATTACACATTCGTTGGTTGCATTCCTATATTTACCACAGTCTAAAACAGTAAGAAAACTATGCCGTGGACTCCTCAGGTAACAACTTCCCTGACAAGTGAAGTATACAAATATGCTTCAAAATAAAACAATCCTACTTTTTAAAGTCAAGTAAATAAAATTAATACACTTTCAAAAACGTCACAACACTGGTGTACAAATAGCTTTTGTGAGCTCACTGGTAATGACTTCTCCACAAACTAGAAGTGATGACTACAGTAAATTATGATGTAAAAATTCTCCTGCGGGGCACCTGGGTGGCTCAGTCATTAAGCGTCTGCCTTCGACTCAGGTCATGATCCCAGTGTCCTGGGATCGAACCCCGCATCGGGCTCCCTGCTCAGCGGGAAGCCTGCTTCTCCCTCTCCCACTCCCTCTATTTGTGTTCCCTCTCTCACTGTGTCTCTTTCTGTCAAATAAATAAAATCTTAAAAAATAAATAAAAATAAATAAATAAATAAAAATTCTCCTTCAAGAAAGCAGATCTTTACAAATCTATTATACCTAGATTTTTGGATTACATAATGACAGACAATAAAAGCAGGTATTTAGAATTTGTATTTTTCAAAAGTTTAAATTCTGATTGTCCTTTCTTTCAGTTTTTTAAACATTGTGGACAGGTCCAAGAACTTTATCACATATACTTGATCTACTAGAGAAACTGAGTTCTTTTTTTTTTTTTTAAAGATTTTATTTATTTATTTGAGAGAGAATGAGAGAGAGAGAGAGAGAGCATGAGAGGGGGGAGGGTCAGAGGGAGAAGCAGACTCCCTGCTGAGCAGGGAGCCTGATGTGGGACTCGATCCCAGGACTCCAGGATCATGACCCGAGCCGAAGGCAGTCGCTTAACCAACTGAGCCACCCAGGTGCCCGAGAAACTGAGTTCTTAATAGAAATGGCAAATAAGCCAATGTCAAAATTAAAACTTAACCTTGTCATAGAAAAGTCTAGTGGGATATATACACCAAATTGCTACCAGTTATTCTCCTTGAGGGGTAGGATTTGGGTAAGGAACTTTAGGACAGGAAAGGAAGACTTAACTTTTTATTTTATATACCCCCTTATGCTTACTTTTTTTATGGGCATGCCTTAAATTTATTACTAAAAACAAAAGTTATTTTAAAAATGTAACTTTGGGGGCGCCTGGCTGGCACAGTTGGTTAAGCGGCTGACTCTTGGTTTGGGCTCAGGTCTTGATCTCAGGGTGCTGGGATCAAGCCCTGCAATGGGCTCCACGCACGGCGCAATGTGCTTGAGACTCTTTCTCCTTCTTGCTCTGCCCCTCCCCTCTATGTGCACGCTCTCTCTCTCTCAGATAAATACAATCTTTTTAAAAAGTGTGAAATACGTAACCTTGAGTGTAAAAATTTACAAATTACATGAACAAATCCATCTAAACACTCTTCCTAAAAGAGAAACAAACACATTAAGCACTACATGTCAACACAAAGACAAAGAGCAACATAATAATGCTTTAAGTATACCCAATATTCACCAACCTATATATACACACAAGGAGTCATATATACAGCCACAAAGTGATGTCATCATAACACTGACCTGTAAGAACCCACACAATTCTTGCTTGCTTCTCAAACCTTACAAGTTATCAGAAGAGATAATGAGATTTGAATCCTAGTCCACAATTATACCTCTTTGTCCCCTATGGTATCCTAGATTTAGAAGCTGGTTAAATGTTTCCTACACTACAAGATAGGAAGGGAGTGAAGACAGCTAAGAGAAGATTTTAGATAGCACTGAATACATGAAACCCCTAAGAGGAAAAAAACTAACTTCTGGAATTCTTTTTACTTTATTTTAATGGGTCTAGGTAACTTGAGAGACTTGGAGAAAAAAAAAAATTAAGTTTCATATAGTACAATATAAATTTTGAAAGGAATAAAAATAGATGAAATATCTTTCTGGGGGTGACCAGGTGGCTCAGTTGGTTAAGCGTCTGCCGTCGGCTTGGGTCATGATCTCAGCATCCTGTGATCAAGCCCCCAGCACCACGTTGGGCTCCCTGCAGATCAGGGAGCCTGCTTCTCCCGTTCCCTCTGCCCCTCCCCACCACTCATGCACTCTCTAAAATAAATGAATAATGGGCGCCTGGGTGGCTCAGTCGTTAAGCATCTGCCTTCAGCTCAGGTCATGATCCCAGGGTCCTGGGATTGAGTCCCACATCGGGCTCCCTCCTCGAGGGGAAGCCTGCTTCTCCCTCTCTCACTCCCCCTGCTTGTGTTCCTGCTCTCACTATCTCTGTCTCTGTCAAATAAATAAATAAAATCTTTAAAAAAATAAAATAAAATAAAATAAATGAATAAAATCTTTTTAAAAATTCTATCAAAATTATATATTCATATGTATATGTGTATAACCAACAAACATATATGGACCCATATTTCTTAAGGATATAAACAGAATGAATACCATTATAAACTGACACTAAGTGTTTTGGGTCTAAACATTTACCCACTGCCTTGATCAGATACTTTGTTTAAATTACCTATAATAGTATCTTTAGATATATGAGAAAGCAGCAGCAGGAATCCTTCCCAAACCCTCCAACACTCCATCAGATGGGCAAAAGATCCCTACACATCCATGGCATCTTTTTTCTTCAAACAGCTATATGCCAAGAGAGAGGGTAAAGGGTCTTTCTCCTACAGTATGAAGTTCCTCCTAATCAGCATTGCGAGCCCTGAAATGCCAAGAAACTGTCAAGGATATTCTCTGGTGAATGTGGGCATGACTATCCACCTCTCATTTGACTGCCCATGCTCCCAGGCATACCACAATTCTCTGGCAACTGTGGGTTAATCACAAAGACTAAGGATCCCTGCTGAGCTTGGCTTATCAGCAGAGGTCTAAGCACCAGCTCAGCAGCAGAACCCAAAGAATCACAGAGCTTTCTGCCTTAATTCCAAGGTATGTTCTCTCTTAGGACTCCTTCCCTACCGGCTGGGTGAGGTAGGGTCTCTACCTAGTCTAGAAGAGTATACCCAGTTCTTGATGAAGCTGTTGTGATTTCACAGACTATATATTTCAGCTACCTGATAATGCTGGTGGAATGGGCAGAAAGGAAGGGCGCGGGGGCGGGGGGGGGGGGGAGTAGAAACAGTTCATCAAAAAGATAAAAATAACCTTGGAGGGAGTGGGCAAGGGACTAGGGTTTGAGATGACATATTATCCCAGTGGAGACTGGGTATATCAGCAGGAAGTCAAACTAACTTCATTTCACAAAGATACAAACTTACAAGCTTGATTTGTTTTTAATTCCCCTGCCTTCTCAGGCCTCACACACAGGGACTGTAAACTGCTGGAACTTCAAAACCAGGTGAGAAAAAGATGCCGAAAGAAGTGGTGGAAAAGGGAGAGGCGCTGAGTGTAGAGAGGAATTCCGATCCCCTCTCACGAAGAATGTTAAAGCCAAGGGCACTCCCGGATCCCCAGGAAAGGAAGTCGCTGGATTCCAAAAAAGCACTTTTCCCTACCTTCTTGTTGTTCTTGTTATAGCCAAAAGTCGAAATCCCAGGCCTGGAAGTCACTGATAGCAGCATTTTCTCTTTAATGTAAGGGAGCTGAGAGAGAGAAGAGGGAGAGGGAAAGGGAGGGGGAAGAGAGGGGGAAAGAGAAAATGAGAGGGAAAAGGGAGGGGGAGGAGAAAGGGGGAGAAAAGGAGCAAGAGGGAGAGGAATGGGGGGGCGGGTAGAGAATGAGCTAGGGCTGCTTGTTTACGTCACTGAGAGAAGTTAACCAAGAGTCTGAATGAGGCACTTCCACTGGGTCCTAATGCCCCAGATGTTATTTTATTTTTCACAGTCTTGGTAGTTAAAGCAGAAAGAAAAGTTCTTAGGTCTACCCCTTTCAACTCCACCCCTTTTCCAATAAGAACAAGTTCTGATTCCTCTGAAAAGACACTGAGGATTTTTTTTTTTTTTTTTTTTTTTTTTTTTGCCTTAGAGCTATAAGATTTAGAAACAGCTTTCAAGCTTGATTTTAAAGGGGCCACTGGGACACACTGCCTCAGAGAACACGTGAGGTCAACTATACCGAAAACGAATATGTGAGATGAGCTCAGGACTTTTCCCACACTTTATACTTACAGTGATCTTCATGCACAAAGAAAGAACAAACAGAAGAGCTTGCCATAGAGCTGAGACAGAGTATGGGAAGTAACTAGTTTCAGATCCTCGGATAGTTCTATTCGTCTTCGGTCATGCCGATGGGCTAATGTCTCTCACTCCTTTCCAGATTCCCTCAGGCATGATTTCATACTTAAGAAGGAATTATCAAACTGGACTATCTCATAAATTTGGTGTCTAATAGTTTCCTTTCTTTCCTCCCAGCTTTACTGAGGTAAAACTGCCTACCTAGCAGTTTCTTCAACAACTGTAAACTATCTTGTTTGACTCTTTACCCCACCATTTTCTAGTCTTCAAGGTCCACGAAGCTGAAACAATTAAGAGTTACTCACCAAACCTGGAATTTATGCCCAAACTGAAGTTCACAGAGTTGGAATATTTGCTTCAAGTTGTCTCTGAGCTGTAGGAAAAAATTACTTTTAAAAAGCATATGCTTCACAGAGAAGAAAACACAAAGTCCTTAGGCAAGAAGAACCTAACACAGTTGAGACAACACTCACCTCAAACAGTTTCAAAGTAATGACCTGTGGAAGTAGCCTTAATAAGAAACTTGTAGAAAACCAAAAATTCAAGAATGATACCCAGTAATTCCTACCAATCCAAATGAAACAGGGATGTAAAATCAAAGCCTTCAAATCCCTTCTTCAGGTCACCTTCTGCCATCACAGATATTCTCTCAAAACACAAATTAACCCTGTCTGCTCTGCCACAACAAACCTTAAGCCCAAATCCTCTCTTAAATGAAGCTCCAGTCTCTCTTCTAGTTTTCTGGTCACCTTTTTGCTCTGATAATGGGACAGACAGGACTAACAATCTGCAGAGTAAATACACACATACCACACACCACCCCCAACCTCTAACTTTCATTTCCAACAGGACAGGAAGTGCCTGCTCAGCTCAAGGGACACAGGAAGGGTGGGAACAGCCTCAATGTGGGAGCCGCAAGGGAGACTGGAAGAACAGCAGCCAAATGCAATACATAAATTACTAAAGGCATCGCTCAGTGTTACCATATTTTTTTAAAGTCTCTTTTCTGCCCTCAGAGATTCTCATTCATTATACGCCAAGTCATCCTTGCCTTTTAGGCCCTTCATTGATTTCTTCTCCCTTAGTCTAACAATGTGGTACAAAAACCTTAATCTCTAAGACCTGATTTCTAATGGGATTTATTTTTTTTTTTTAAAGATTTTATTTATTTGACAGAGAGAGACACAGCGAGAGAGGGAACACAAGCAGGGGGAGTGGGAGAGGGAGAAGCAGGCTCCCCGCAGAGCAGGGAGCCCGATGTGGGACTCGATCCCAGGACCCTGGGATCAAGAACTGAGCCGAAGGCAGTCGCTCAACCGACTGAGCCACCCAGGCGCCCTCTAATGGGATTTATAAAGCCAGTCAACCTATTTTAATTTTTTTAAAAACTCTAACATTCTCAGGGTGTTTTGTTCTCCTACTTTATTTCTTGATGCTCAATATTTTAGAATTTAAAATAGAGGCGCCTGGGTGGCGCAGTCGGTTAAGTGCCCGACTCTTGGTCTTGGCCCAGGGCATCATCTCAGGGTCGTGCCCCGCCCCCCTTGGGCTCCAAGCTCAGTGTGGAGTCTGCTCGAGATTCTCTCTCCCTCTGCCCCTGCCACTGATGCTCTCTATCTCTCAAATAAAATAAATAAATCTTTAAAAAAAAAAGTAAAATAGTTAAAACCATGAGTTTTAGAGAGAGACAGACCATGAGTTCAAATGCTGACACCATCGTTATAACTTATGTGACTTTATGTCAAGGTACTTAACATCTCTAAATCACTCATTTGCAAAATGGAGATAAAACCTACTCCATTGGCCTTTGGAATCAAATCTAAGTTCTAGTTCAGTTGTCACAAACTGAGGGACACAGAAAATTACCTCACATGTCTGTATCTTTTCTCACCTGTAAAACAGGATAAATAAAGAGTATCTATTTCCTAGAATGGTAGTGAAATAAGACAATACATATAAAGCCCTTAGGAAAGTCTTTGGCACTTGGTAAACACTCAATAGGTATTAGCTCCATTATTATTAATTACTCTACTATCTCCCAGTGTGTATACCCTGTGGGTATTGTATAATCCAGATTGGATGATGTGAAGTGAGTATTTCCAAAAACTAGTATCTTAGTTACATTCAAAAGATGATACTAGGACTAGGCAGGCTAAACTTTATAACTGGAAATACTGGATAAGAAGTTTCATCCATCCAATTTCTTTTCCTTCTCTCCATTCTATAAGCAAACAATCTGATCATTCAGACATTTTTTTTTTAAGATTTTTATTTATTCATTTAACAGAGAGAGAGAGAGAGAGCACAAAAAGGCAGAGTGGCAGACAGAGGGAGAGGGAGAAGCAGGCTCTCCGCCGAGCAAGGAGCCCGACGTGGGGCTCGATCCCAGGATCCCGAGATCATGACCTGAGCCAAAGGCAGTCGCCCAACCGACTGAGCCACCCAGACAGAGAGAGACACAGTGAGAACAGGAACACAAGCAGGGGGAATGGGAGAGAGAGAAGCAGGCTTCCCACTGAGCAGTGAGCCCGATGCGGGGCTTGATCCCAGGACCCCAGGATCATGACCCGAACCAAAGGCAGACACTTAATGAATGAGTCACCCAGGTGTCCCTCAAACCAGCTCTTTATCTCAAGTAGGAGTGATGAACAATATTTTGGCCTATTATTAAATTGCATAATGGACAATATTTTTAGGAATAAACTTATAATGGAAACAAGATTTGTAGAAAACTACAGCTGTTGGACAGACACATGAAAAGATGCTCAATATCACTCATCATTAGGGAAATGCAAATCAAAATCACACTGAGATATCACCTTACACCTGTCAGAATGGCTAAAATAAGTGTTTATGTCAAGAAATAAGTGTTTATGAGGATGTGCAGAATTGGGACCCTCATGCACTGTTGGTGGGAATGCAAACTGGTACAGCCACTGTGGAAAAGAGTATGGATGTTACTCAAAAAGTTAAAAATAGAACTACCCGACAATCCATTAATCACACTACTGGGTATTTACCCAAAAAATACAAAAACACTAATTCAAAGGGATGCATGTACCCCTATGTTTAAAGCAGCATTATTCACAACAGCCAAATTATGGAAGCAGCTCCAAGTGTCCATAGATTGATGAATGAATAAAAAGAAGATGTGGTATATGTATATACAATGGAATATTACTTGGCCATAAAAAGAATGAAATTTTGCCATCTGCAATGACATGGATAGAGCTAGGGAGTATAATGTTAAGTGAAATAAATCAGTCAGAGAAAGACAAATACCATATGATTTCATTCATATGTGGAGTTTAAGAAACAAAGGAGCAAAGTAAAAAAAAAAAAGAGAGAGAGAGAGAGAGAGAAAGCAAAATCAGACTCCTAACTATAGAGAACAAACTGATGGCTACCAGAGGGGAGGTGGAGGGAGGGTAGGAGAGAAACAGGTGATGTGGATTAAAGAATATACTTATCACAATGAGTGCTGAGTAATGTATAAGAATTGTAGAATTACTATATTGTACACCTGAAACTAATAGAACACTATTTTTTTTTATAACACTATGTTAACTACACTGGAATTAAAACACAAAGCTTAATAATTAAAAAAAACTTACAGTTGTTGGGAAGTACTGCTAATTAAGTGTTTTGAGATTTTACCTAAGGTCTGATTTACCATATATTTAGAAGGTAATTTGCTTGAATTCTGCTTTCCTTCTGGGGATAACTTGTACCATATCTTGAAACGCAAATGAAACATAAGATTTGAATATAAAAAATAATTCCTATCAATCTACATTATTTATAAGGCCACTAGTCACTTGGAGGCTTTACCAGAAGCATAAGATGGATGAGGACAGGGACTGGGACTATTTTGTGTACACTACTATATCCCTAGCATTTAACAATATCTGGCTAATTTATTTTATTTTTTTAAGACTTTATCTATTTGAGAAAGAGAGAGAAAGCAGGAGAGGGGCAGAGGAAGAGAGAGAAGCAGACTCCCCACTGAGCAGGGAAGCCCAACATTGTAGGGCTCAGTCTCAGGACCCCGAGATCATGACCTCAGCGGAAGTCGGGCGCTTAACCAACTGAGCCACCCAAGCACCCCTATCTGGCTAATTTAAAATTAAAACATATTTGTTCCAAGAATGAATGCAAGTATCTTGAACATTAAATTTACATGTGAAAAGACATTACTCATTAAAAATGCTGAAAATAGTGTTGACAGTGATGGAATAGCAAGTTAGGATATCCAGGAGCTTTTTACTTTGTATTTACAACATATATTATTTTCCTTTTATTGTTCATTTTGTGTCATTATGCAGTCAATAAGCTTGAATTTACTTACGTCTCTCATCTGTGTGCTAGATGAAACTATAACCCCATTATTGCATTAAAAAGACAGCTCAAGGGGCGCCTGGGTGGCTCAGTCTTTAAGCGTCTGCCTTCGGCTCAGGTCATGATCCCAGGGTCCTGGGATTGAGTCTGGCATCAGGCTCCCTGCTCAGCGGAAGGCCTGCTTCTCCCTCTCCCACTCCCCCTGCTTGTGTTCCCTCTCTTACTGTGTCTCTCTCTGTCAAATAAATAAATAAAATCTTTAAAGAAAAAAAAAGGCCTACTCAAGGGGCGCCTGGGGGGCTCAGTCGGTTAAGCGTCTGCCTTTTGCTGGGGTTGGGATCCCAGGGTCCTTAGAGCAAGCCTCGCATCAGGATCCCTGCTCAGCAGGGGAGCCTGCTTCTCCCTCTCCCCCTGCTTGTGTGCTCTTTCTCAATCACTCTGTCTCTCAAATAAATAAAATCTAATTTTTTTTAAATAAAATTTAAAAAAAATTAAAAGACACTCTAAAGGTCTATCATAAATTTGTATTCCTGGGGTGCCTGGGTGGCTCAGTTGGTTAAGGTCAGCCTTCGGCTCAGGTCATGATCCCAGGGTCCTGGGATCAAGTCCCACGTCGGGCTCCCTGCTCTGCAGGGAGCCTGCTTCTCCCTCTGCCTCTGCCTGCCACTCCCCCTGCTTGTGCTCTCTCCCTCTCTCTCTCTCTGTCAAATAAATAAATAAAATCTTAAAAAGAAAATTTTGTATTCCTATGGCATTTTGTACAAAATTTCAGTAGGCTTTTAATTCTGCTTGACTGTCCCATTTCTTGCCCCCAGATTGTGAGCTCCTAGGAAGCAGCCACCAACTTTACTAACCTTTTTATCTTTAACACCCAGGGTGCCTGGGTGGCTCAGTTGGTTAAGCGACTGCCTTCGGCTCAGGTCATGATC